GAGCAACGCTAGTCTTCTTTTTCATATTTCAACTTGTATATTATAATCTTACCTGTATAACATATTTTATTACTTGCAATAAATAATAATAATTATTATTATATTAATCGGGGCTTAGATTTTATGGCGTTTGCTAATAACTATCATAGGATAGCAGAGTGAGCTTTACATTAATTGTTATATGCGCCCAGAGATTGCAAATATGAAATTTTATAATGCTATGTTTTGCATATTTGAAGTATTTTAGATTCTTAGCGCTACTTTTCAATTATAGTATATTAATAATCATAATAGTGCGTCTTGTGATTTATTTTGTACTTATCATAAATAGTAGAAGAAATCTATCATTTATGTTTAATCCGTAAGAAAAATACCTGTACATTTTCGTATGATCTTATTTTAATTACTCCGGCGTGTTGACCCGCATTCGTGTTTGCATTAATGACTTCTTAGTTATTGTCGGTTGTATTTGTATACTAAAAAAAAAAAAAAAAAAAAATACATTTTCTATTTTGCCATTATTCATATTTTAATGGCATAAAGTTTGTTTTAAGATTTGTTAGGTCATAGCACATATTTCAAGCATTTTCATTGCTATAACATTTGCGCCCTGTTGATAATAATATTACGGTAAACGGCACGGTTAGGACCGTTGAGTATAATCGCGACGCGGCGCATGCGAGCGGAAACTGTGTCGTCGCGGTACACAAAAACCGCCGTCCGCCGAGAACGGTTGTGGCCCGGTGACCGAGTCGGGTTACCCTTACCACGGTGGGTGTCGACGGACTTTGCTCTTTGGCACAGGTTCATGGTTCATGGGGGAAAAAACGCTGTACCCTATAGAAACTTCGAATCGGTCAGCGAATCGGAGGCGGCGAGGCCGTAACGTGTGTGAGTGACACTGAACGGTCGCGCACGAACGCGTATTTTCCATTTTCGTCGACGAGTGTTTCCGTGTCCGCGCGCGTAATATCTGTGGTTAATCGAAACTTGTTCGCCGCGTCAAAGTTCGCCTTTTTCATTCTTATGCACGCCACGCATACGTCAATTTCTTCGCGATGTGATAACTGTAGGTTGTGGAAGACGGTGATCGCGGTTCGAGTAGTCGGTAAGTGAATCAAAATGGCGGCTGTGCGTAATTCATGTACGACTGAGTTAGGCTGTCCCTTAACCGTAAAGGTCAAAAATAAAATTTCGTCCCCTCCCCCCCTGAAAAGCGATTGATGTATAAAATATTGATATTTTCACATTTTTAGTAACGATCCGACAGAATTATCTGGTGCCGAAACGGGCGTAAACTTACAATCATTTTTTCTTTGACCAGATAACTCTGTCTTATTGTTCTAACAACGTGTACACCCGAATGCAGTAATGTTAAAATAATGTTACCTACGTACGCGGCCACCGCAGAACAGACGACTTGCCTCCACGGTTCGATTTAAAATTGAATGTTCCGCGAACCGTATTGGTTTTGTGTGTGTACTCGGGTGGACCGAATGTGTTAAAAACATGTTTTTCTTTTAATTTAGACGTGATACATCGCTCTTCAAGAAATCCTGGTTGTGTCACATTGCACTTTGTAACAATATACCTATATAGGAAACGGCACATAGCTGTTACATGGGCAGTGGCACTCTATTATTAATATTTTTATCATTTATTTAAATATTATATTATATTTATTCATTGATTATTTGGTTTTCATATGAATCATATCAGTTATTTTGTTGAAAATTTTAATTCATATATATAATGTTACTTCGATTGATAAATATTTACTGATAAGTAAGTATACTTCCCTACCTATAGGTAGGCAGGTAGGTACTAACTGATTGATTAATGACAAAATGATAGGTACACATTAAAAATAAATATATTATATTTTGAAATAAAATTTTTGTTTTTAGATTATAATTTACTTTTAATTAGCTACCAGTTACCGCCCTAGTAATATTACATTTATGTGAGCTATTGAACTTTTGAGTATAGGTATAATAATATGTAGGTAAGTAATACTTTGTGTTCATAAACCTGAATTAGTCCCCCCTCCCCCTGTATACGTGTCTGTTATACATAAATCAAAGGTGAAAAAAAAATATTTTGTCAAACTATTATTTTACAAAATTAATTTATTCCTATTTTGTTTCAGATTTGGCAGTCTGTAGTAATAGTTCAATACTCACAAGGTAAGCAGATGGTTATTAATTTAGGTTTAAGATTAAAGCAGCTAGTGATTTTTTCAATCCAACAATTAGGTAGATATATGCATGTTGGCAATTATGTAGGTGCTATTTTATGATTGCAATTAAGTAGGTAACAATTAATTAATAAAGTTTAGGTAGTAATTTTGTTGTACTAGGCTCTAAGTGAAATGGAAATTCTGGCTGATTGAGCATAATTTTGTATTGTTTTCTTTTTTTAATTTGTGTACATAATAATTTTAATATAATAATATATAATAATTATAAATTTATTAGTTGTGTCAAGTTGAATTTTCATAAGTAATATTAAATAATATTAAATTAAATTTTGATAATAAATCAAATAAAGCAATTTTGACCATAAATAATGTTTCATTAAAATGGTTTAAATGAAATAATGTTCAAACTATATGTATACTTATTATATCTTTAAGTTAGAGAATGTTTTATTTTTGTCGCCTTGAAAATTGTGAAGAAGATAACATCGGTAAGTTTCGTTATGCTTAAATGTAATATTTTTATTCTTAATAAGTTTATTTTAAATTTTTATATTAAATTCAAGATTTTAAAATTGTAAGCAGTTGTATGTAGGCAGTTACACTTAAACGTATATGGTTAACCTTGAATTAAAATTTATGATCTTAGCTATGATTGAAAATACACAGGTATCATTATAATTTATAGATAAATAATATTCAATTAATCCCATTTACTGTAGTCACTTATTTAGTTTTAACGTTTTTTAAAAATATATATAAAAATATTTCTAATAATTGTTTAAATAATAAAGTATATCGGGTTTAATAACACCAATCTATTAATGAATTCCGTATAAAACATCAAAGTCTATGAGTTATGATTATGATTATGACCATACAAATTTTGAAGTATACTTTTATCATTTTTTGTAATAAACTTTCTTATTAAATTGTACACATAAATTACATTTGATTTTTTATATTTTTTCATTGTTATCTGGAAATATTTAGAAAATGATAATAGAAATGATATTTTATTATAGTAAAAATACCAAATACAATAACTGTTTGAAGTAGTTTTATTCATACAAAATAATTTTCTTGAAAATGAATGTATTATACAAAGGCAATTTATTTTACCTAGTATTGAAATTGAAAAACTTTGTTTTTCATTAGGTAATTATTATAAATATTATGATTTTTAGTTTTTACTATTTCTGCCATCACTCACTTGGTACCATAAAACAGCTGATTTAACCTTAAAGCTAGGGCAGATAGAAACTATTCACCTTTACATATTTGTATATTAATTTCAAAACAAGTTATACTAAAATAATTAATTAGAATTAGAGTTTACTATTTAGAAATGTATGTTACTGAGGTAATTGCAATTACCTTTTGTATATGGTATTATAAAACATTTGAAAACCTATGTATAATTTAGCCAAACAAATTTAGTTTTAATTATTGTGAAGTACAATAATGAATACCTAATATTAATATTTGTATTCGTTACAATATAATAATGTACCTATATATACAAATGTATATTATCTAATTTTATTACATTGGTAAATTAGGTTAATTTATTATTTATACATCAAAAATGTTATCCGAAATGACTATTATAATATTGGTGAGTACCTAATCATTTAGTCAGGTATGTAGGTTATTGATATTTATTAAATGTGCTTTTTTTTAATTTCTGGTGTGGTTTATTATTAAATAATTATATATGATACAATTTTATCAATAAACAGTTTTTAAATGCATTGCTATTAATTATTATAAAAGAAAAAAAATATAATATATAATTTTACTGGCAATAATAAATTTAAAGTAGAGTTTTGGTATCTGGATTTGTAAAGACTTGGCAGTCAAAGTTTTAACCAAGTATTCATTACACTAGTAGTAATACACAGTAGATTTAGATTTTAAGATTTATTATTTGGTATTAGCCGAATCATTATGATATTTTAATTAGCGAGTTACATTTCCACAAATGAAATATTAATAAACAGTGACATAGTGAAAAATTTAAAACCTCCTCAAATCCCTAACTGTATTTTAAATGTAAAAAAAAATCAAAATATTCAATTACAAAATTTAGTTATTGTATAATTTGTTTATATATTTATTTAAAAATCATAAACAACTGAAATATAATGTCTGTTTTGTACTTTGTTCAATACATTTTATTTTACTTTTGAATTATTTATAAGTCCACATGTCTACTTTTTTCTGTAAACTTATCAACATAGTATTGAATATTGATTTTAGTGATAACAACTATAATTGCATTTTTTAACATTAGGTGCTGTATAATTTTTTATTTAAGAGCTTTATATCCACATAGTTCGTTTTACATGTCTGTGTATCTATAAACCAACAGCCCAACTACATTCTGGTTTTTTTATTTTGTACATTGCATTATTACAGAGGGATCTGTTTAATATAATAGTATAAAATATGCAGCTGTGGATGTCACCACAAAAATGTGTTTTACTTTAATGTTTTCTGTTGATACCTACTATAAATAATTATTTATATGGAAAATTAATAAATAATTTTACATAACATTGTATCCCACAGAATGGTATAAAATACACCAATGTGTCGCGGCAACCCGGTCTTAAATCTCTATTTAAATTACAAATAGTTTAAAATGAAACATTCAAGCATTTTTTTTTTAAACAATAAAGATCACTTTATAAGTGACAAAATTATTATATTTGTTTTATTCATATTATAATGTGTACTTTAAACTACTTATGCACTTTTATTTTTTATTTCATGAGATCAAAATTATATTTTATCAAATGCTACAGATAAATTTTATTTGATAATTTTTGTTTCAATCAAATATTTCTCTTCGCAAATTCAAAATGCATAGGTAGATAGGTAGGTATAGGTTGTGTCAGTTGTGTGTTAACACTAAGTAAATTATTGCAGTATAATTAATTAAAAATAATTTGGATGAAATGTTTTTTAAACAAATATATTATTATAGTAGATATTAAACATTATGGTTAAATATTTTTTTAAAATTATGAATAGGTAATTCAACAAATTAGCTTGGTGCTAATGGCGTTGGTAACAATATGTTTTAAATACAATAAATAATATCATTCCTAAACAATGTAAAAACAAGTAAAAAAAAAAAAAAAAACAATAATCAATGTTCATATTATACAATACTTACAAGTTTTTCGACATAATCTTAAAACAATATTTTTATACATGGTTTAACGCTTTATTTATCACAGTAAAATAAATAATTTATTAGTCCATCAAAATAATATTTTCAATAGGTATGTGGTAGGTATACTAAGGCTATAGAATTATTATTTAAAAATGTATTGATTTAATAATTATAAAATGTAGCCTAGCTTAATTATAACTATTCGTGGGGAATTTTTGTTTTATTGATTTCATGTTTGGTAACCAGTATAGGTAGTTAGATATTATATCATTATGCTGGTACTCATATAAATAAACAAGTTCAAAATTAAGGGTTAGGTAATAAGTATACAAAATGATTAAATCTATTTCAAACATTATAACGATGTTTAAACAATTTTAAAACAAATATCGTTTTCATATTATTTCATTGGCTTATTTTTATTTGAAAACTATTGCTTAAGGACAATAGAATAAGCATGCATTTATTTTATCTACCCGTGTTGTATTTTAATAGTGTTACCGAAAAAATAATTTTTATGGACATTGGAAACAACGTTTGTATAGTTTGTATTTAATTCTATAATTCTACAAATATTGTATTTACCACGTGACAATCCTTTATGTTGGCTAAATTTGTATTTTTTATTGAATATTATGAAAGACAAATCTACGTCGAATTAGAGAAAAGCGTATCAATGCTTACCGTCCACGAGAAAGGGAAATAACTCACAAATATATTTATTTTTTTTTTTTCGTCTTTATTTATACAAAGTTTCGTACAATCATTTGGTGATAACTAATTCGACAATCGCGTGGCAAATGGTTTTCTTTTCAACATATTTGAAATTTGATATTTTTTTTTTATTTTTTCCATAATGAAATTCTATATCGTTAGTTTTGTGTTTAATTTCCAACTGTACAATTTAAAATTCCCACTCGGGCGGACAACACAACAAACAGTTTGATTTGGCGGATTCGTAATATTTATAATATTAAATTTAATGTAATAATTGCACTCGTGTTTCGTTTTTAATAAGGGCCGACATTTCAAAATAATGGACACACCGATATTATTATCGAATTCGTTGAACTCATTTAATAATATTATGACGGGACTCGCGTTCTCGCGGATCCGTTGGTTTTGTTTTCATTTCCAAACGTTTAGATATTCGCAAAATATTATACCTCCGTTACTCGTCCGTATCGAGTACGAAAATATTATAATTTTTTTTATAATATTATAATCACTCCTAGAAACAACACTCTTATTATATTGTTATATATTATTAATCGTATATGACGTGATGGACACGAGATAACAATAATATTCAAGTGACTTGGCTGTTGACGCCGTTGTCTACTACGTCGCCGGGCAAATGATGTTTCCAACTCCGAAACAAATACCGCGTGAATTTCCGCAGCTGTCTGAATTTACAGTACGTGGCGCCTTGGGCGGACTCCAGTTGTTGCGTCTGTATCAGGAAACCCTTTTCCTTGAACGTTTTTTCCAAACGCTCCCTGGCCAGGGACTTTTTACTCTTGCGTTTCGAGTCTTTCGATTGGAGACCCAACGTTTCGTGGAGAGCCGACCCGCCCGCGGCCAGTTGAAAATCGCCAATCGACATCTGGTCCCTGACGCACAGGTTCAAAGGTTCTTCTACGACGGTCGTACCGTAGTTTTTGTAAATCAAATGACATATATCAGCCTGTAACACGACCGAAACTCACGATTATTACAATATTATAATGACGTATTATACAGAATAAGAGAGATTATAATACAGGGTGTACTCTATATTATTATAATACGATATCATTGTAGGTACCGATTGTCGGTAAAAGTAAAATAAAAAAAAAAAAATTAAATAGTTTTGTACACAATATAATAATACTATCGTAGTGTTATTGTCTGTTGTCTGAATTCTATTCATCCAAGTACTTGGTTTATTTCGTGTGTAATATTGTAGATAAATCGTATAATTTTTTCCCTATTCTTCTTATTGACATTCGAACCGCTGCAAAGATAACGTTTTCCCGTATAGTACAATGTGCACGACAGCCCACGAATTGCATTGACTTCGTGTTGTTGTATGTTTATTTTTATTTGGAATTATAAATTTGTATACCGTATTAGCTGAAAACGATATGGACACACAAAAGATGTTAAGAGCACGGGATCTAGGGAAGAATGGAGAATCGCTGCAAACCGATCTCGGGATTGAATACGCGAAGAATAGCTGGCATTTTTTTATCAATGTATATTTTCGACAATCGTGTACCGCATAGTTTTTCGTTTGAATATTTGTCAATATTGAGTCACCGCGATAAGATTAGATAACAAAACATTATTATCGGATAAATGTGTCGAAGAAACAGCAGCCACGCGTCTCGTAGGAAGCAACAGCAAAATACTAAACTGTATTTCAGTGGCGTCATTGAAAGCGAATTTAATAAGTCGGCTGTTCGAATGATTTAATAAGTTGATCGCTCACCCATTCCGCGGCTATCAATTTATCATCCCTCTGAGCTCTGAAGTAATCGTTGGAGACATTCCGTATAGGTAAACGGGATTATAATACACAAACGTTACTTACTGTACCAGTAGTTTTTAACCGAGGAGGTATCGCCCGGGCGGGGAGAATTTAAGTCTCATGAGATGATAATTTTGTATTTTGTTTTAACATCATTATAATTATATTAATTAACTAGTATTGTTCACATTGTACATTTATTTGTATACGACATTTTTAGTGAGTGTTTCGTACAGCTCTGTAGGTAAACACACACATTAAAGCTAAGTCTGTTTTGTTTACCCACCCGTTTTTACGAGGCAATTCAATTGAAAGCCCGAAGTACGCCCGAGCCCGAAGTACGCGTAAGGCGACACTGGTGGGTTTAGTTCGTATTTTTTTTTTCACCTTTTTCGGTTTGCGTCCCCTTCGGGGTTTCGCGTTGTCTAATGTCATTTCTCCCATGTAAGGCAGATCGTCGAAACGGACGCTGGTCTGAGCTTCCGGCGGGAGTTTTGATTTGACATTACCGCCAATAAAAGACACGGGGGCGGTCGTAGCCGGTGACGAAATTCCCGCGGACGGTTGAGATGACATCATGGACGCCTCGTAGTGGTTCAAATACTCCGCGGGCAACGCTTGATGATGGAATTTAAGCTTCCATCGTGATTTTCTACGATTTCTGAAAACCACGTAAATACAATATTATATTTCGGTAGGTATAGTGAAAGAAAAAACAAAATTAAATAAACAGAATATCGAAACGAATTTTGAAAAACAACTATATATTATTATTAGATACCTAACGTTATACGTCATAATCATCGAGAACAATAGATTTGTCAAGTTTATAATAAAATGTATTAATTAAAAAAAAAAAAAAATACCCATTTTGGATAATCTTAAGAAAAACAAAACCGCGAACCGAAAAACGAGTAATTAAAAAACGAATAATATTATATAATTAAATATTAAAATGTTACACCTTTATCTGATCAATTAAGAATAATAAATAATAAATAATAATAATAAATCAGAATATATTCTCGGTTCGGTAGGGCAGTGGCGCATTAAAAGGTGGGGGGAGGCAAAATTTAAATGATTTTCGGTAACGTATTTTAGAAACGGGAAAAAAAGTTGAGGTAAGGAATCAAAGAAAGTAGTTTAAGTTTTTGATGTACCTGTGTAAATGAAGGGGAGGGGGGGGGTTGTGGTCTAAAAATTTGTTTTGACTCCCAAACGTAAAAATCCTAGATAAGCCACTGGGCAGGGATGTATTATTTTTCTAAAATGTAGGTGCCTGTGTTGTTATTTTCATTAAAAAAATTCAAAATTTTATTGACGATTATATATTCTGCGTAAATATATTAAAAAATATTGTATATTACGATATTTTCAATTTTATTACATTAAAAACGTTGTAACTGTATATAATTATATTCATGAGTATAAATTAATAAATCGTAAATTCTTTTTTTTTTTTTCGTTTAATTGTTTGGTACAAAGTTTAACAGAATACAATCGAAATTGAATTTCAAGAGATACGGCATTTTATTATCGTTTGACAATAACGTAGAACACACGCACAAAAAAAAAAAAAAAAAAAAGACCTATTCAATCGAGATGTGAATCATGCGAATCGAGCGACAATTTCGGCGTATTCCGGTATGGGATCGCGTACAAATCTGGACAGTAACATTGTTGAATTCGTATTGAAATTATTTAGTCACCTCTCGTCGATATTCACTTGTTGATAGTTTCAAACAGTTAATGTCTTAACATTCAAACATTTTACTCTGCAGATTTGTATATGACATTCCGGAATTGCGCGTTCCGGATATTAAGTAAATGGCGTGTTTAAAAAAATGTAGGAAACCGATGCACACGATAACCGTTCGGTGTGTACGGCTTTTTCAATTGTTTTGAACGTTCGAATGACTATTCTCATATTATAATATAATATTACATGGTCTGCTCTATTACTGATATAACAGTTTTCAATAATGTTGAAAACATTCTAAAGAATGAGAACGATGGAACGATTTGTCCGCGAGTACCTAACCTTATAATACGGCTGTACAATACCCAATGCCGATTATTTAATATTGTAGACCGACATTTACTACCCCGTTTCATTCGTTTTGTTGTCGGACCGGAAATCGAGTGTTTAGGTTCGTTATTAAATTTGAACGATTCGGGTTAAACGAAATTGTCCTAGTAACCGGGCCCGTGGTTATCAATAAAACAACACCGTAGATAGTTTCATATTCAATCGTTTCCGCGTGCACAGACAATATTGCAAATTTAGAACCTCGGGACCCATTATTCGGGTTATTCGAGCTGACTAAAGCCCGGATTTGAAGTTCGAAATCTAACGTAGGTTCCTGTTTAAATCTCCATTTCGGATTCCAAATTACATAGGCGTACATCAGCCAATTTACATAGTAACAGAAAACGCACCGCCGGGTCTACACAAGACATTTGTGCACATAGGCTCCTAAATATAATATGACGTGGACGATCGGCGAAAAAAGATTTTTCAAAAATTCAACTTTTAAGAGGCTAAAAAAGAGCTCAAGATATTTCACGCATTCATATGTCGCTTAAAAATTTAAATTATATAAAAAAAAAAAAAAAAAACGACGACGTGCCACAGATTATGTTCTCGCCTTTTAGTTCGATAAAAGACAATATTGACTGTAGCATTGCCTAGTCTAATAGCGTCACAGAGGCGTAGAAGCGCAGCTAGACATATTTTTCTGGGTGGGCCGGATAAAATAATAAAAATGCTCGGATGGGAACTATTACTTACATTAATTTTTGAATATAAAATTGTATAAATTTCGGAGAAAAGATGGTATGCCCGGGCCCGCCCGCTGGTTACGCCAATGCAGAGTTGGCCCCGCTGAACGAAAATCCGCCAGGTCACGCGGTCGTATGACGAAGACGGCACATGCGGACGTGGCGTCCTTTTAGTGATAGTTTTTGTAATCTTCTCTAATTTTGTAACACTTGGCATTCTTTTTTTGCATTTGAATGGCCGAGGCGGTCGTTGATAAGACTTCGAGGAGCTCTCGAACGCCGTGAAAAGCGATCGGAAAATACTCTTTTTCCGGGGCGGAAAAGTTGCGCACGGATAAAAAAAAAAAAATAAGCATCTTTGTAAAACCGCGAGGTTCTTCGCTCCGCTCAGGATCTACGAATTTTTGTCGGAAGCTTCAGACTCCCAGCTCATTCGAGCATCCGGGAAATACGCGTGCGCGTGTCGTGTGGTTATGAAAAAAAAAAAAAGACTGGGGGGGGGGGGTTTCGCGCCGAATATTCAAGTTTCTCCCCCCCCCCTCCCGACGCGGACGTGCGAAACGAGAGCCGGGGACCGCCGCTCCAGAGCATTCCGGAACAGTTTCATTCATCGCGTTCGCACTTTCAACGCAATATCGATTATCGACAAACAAACGGACACGCATTTCGGATAATAATTATTGCAACGACGACGACCACGCGGTGCGCGTATTGCGTTTCGTTAGCGTTTCCCATTCCGCGGGAACCGGACCGCGAAAACGGTCGAAACCGCGTCCGGCGCCGTTCCGTTTTCAACGGCGTTCGCCGCACGCCGAGAACGACAACGTCCCGTCGCACCGAAATGATATCGCGCCGCGTTTACGAACAAAAGCACGGGCACGGCGATAGATTCCGGGGGCCCCGCGTTATTCGCTGCGGCGTTTCCCGACTCGTTTCGCCCGCGGGGACTTGAATGTTTCGCGGGACCCCCCCCCCTCCCCCCCGATTGATTTTTGTTTGTTTTTTTTCCCCCGTTCTCGTTTTACGCAGACGCGTTTCCTTCGGATACTCAAGCGGACGGTTACACCCGCCCCTCTGTTCCGAATACCGGGTACCGCACAAAAACAACGCTCACCCGCGCGGGACAAGCAACCAATAGCTTAATTTCGGTAAAAGTACTCGTTGTGAAATTCGTAGAAAACAATGTTCCGGGGGGGGGGGGAGGGGGGGAATGTCTTAGGGTTTTCGTACCGTTCAAAATATACAGCTCGATAAAATAGATAAAAAAAACATTTTTTTTTTTTTTTTTTTGCTTTTTTAATAGTTTATAGTTCGAAAAAAAACACGACACGACATTCCCTCCGAAATATTGTTTCTATGAATTCCGCAATCGGCAATCCCATTCTAAAATCTAAATCAAGCTATTTTTACCTAAACCGCGTAAGCATTGTTTTTCGCATGCATGGCACCGGGTATTCGGACCGAGACAGTAGATGATGCGGGTCCTCTGAAACGAGTGGGCAATCCGAGACTTTCGTGGCGAAAAATTTCGTCGAAATATCAGAGGCGACCGGTCCCTCCCGCCTGTCCCGTGCGCACGCTTATGATTATACGCCCTGTACGTAACCATAATCTCTACGACTTCTCAACTTCTCGCCTGTACAACAGGGCCACATCCGTGGTGCGAAGTATTTCAGTTTTTTTTTTCTAAAGAATTGTGTTAGTGCGTCGGCACTTTTATCCGAATTGAAAACGATCGGATTTGGATTAAGCGAACGGTGTGATGGTCGAACACTGCATGCGCCCGGGTGAAAGATGTGTAACGGCGGCACGCCTGTGCGTTTACGTCGGAAAAGGCCATTTCGTGGGATAATTATTTGACGAGTTCAACAAATGCCATTCGTTTTTTTTTTTACGAATTTTACCCGATACAATGGAACACTTGTTCGTTCTAAACCGCGCCAACCACGATTGAATACAATCGCCTGAGTATTTTTCTAAAACTTTTGGATTCCACATTTTTACGCTGAAATACCTTTTTTCGACCCGAGTGCGTCCTGTTATCCGCTCGCTATAATGCGATATAACAACGCGCGGGCGGCGGCCGCGGAAAACTGAACAAAATATGAGTTGTATATACTGTGTGTTCACTTATTTTCCACTACGTGATACGGTTTTTTTTTTTTTTTTCCGTTTGTTCTCTGTATTTATATTTGAGTCCCGACACCTAAGGTCGTTGGCGCGCGAATACGTATTAACGCAGACGGATTAGGTTCAGTTTTAGGTTACAGGCCGTACAGCATATTATTATTATTATATTGTACGGGTATTAGATTTAAGTTTGCGTTTTCGTGATATTAGGTTAAATAGATTACGCGTAAATATCGTTTTACACGTCCGGCCGTCCGTACGAGGTCAAATGATAACACGAAAATTAGCGATTTTCAACCGATCGGATTCGGATTGGGGAAATAAAAACTAATAATTGGTTGGGTACCGATAAATCACGTGTAAAACGTACGTCACTGCGTTCCGAAGAGTTTTTCTAAAATCCATAACATTTTAACGAGACAACTAATAGGATTCGATTATTTGGCGATTAGCCCATTCTTTGCTGACCACGTACTATACGTTTTTTTTTTTTTAAAAAAAAAAAAAAATCCTATTAAACTGTTATATTTATATATTTTTTTGGCCGAGTATACAGTGAGTCCATATTCGGTCCGACAGAATTTGAAATCTTTATTGTTCGTCGGTCGTTACAGCGGTGGAAATTTAAATTTCAGTTTCTTTTTTTATTTTTGTTAATAGGAATTCAAAATATTTATATTATAATAACAATAATACAAGTTTAATAATTGAATGGTTACGAGAGCGCTATCTACCGGTATGTTCTTTTAAACGGTTGGTCACGTAGACCATCGCTAGATGGCGTTGCTGTTTTAGTTTGAACGCGTAAAAATAATGTCATTATTTCATTCAGTTCTGTGAAACCTGATCGTTATTTAAAAGAATAATTGTTCGGTGCGGGTCTAACAAAATAATGTTGTTGAACGTACGGACATACGGACGAAATATTGGCAGTGTATTGTTGAGTGGGGGGGGGGAGGTGGGTTGAAAAGAGAAATTATTTATCAATGTTACAGTTGTAAAAGATAAAAATCGAGAAAATAGTTTGAATTGAATAATAACCATACAACATTGACAATATGTTTTGGTTTTGAAGAGGCCAAGAAAGTGAACGAGTTTTAACACGGCATTCTACAATAATATATCGGCAACCTATGGATATAAAAGACAAAATGTAAAATGTTGGCGAGCCTAGTACCTATTTAAGGGGTTTCGTATAGGCAATTATAATGAATAAAAAAAATTGATTAACTTAAAAATACTATTGAATATTCACTCTCAAATAAATCTACAACAATATATTATAATATGATAGTGTACATTAAATAGGGTATGATTCTTTTTATATTTTTTTATTCATCTCGGAGACGCAATATTTTTACAACGCAGGATTTTAAACGTAGATCAAATTATTTAGAGCGTTGCATGGTATACATAATATTATTATTATTTATCTTGGTAAGGTACTACTGCAACGTTTGCAACTGCGGCGCTGTCCAATCCAATGTAATTGTTGTTTTATTAAACGACCCGGAAAAATTAATGACAAACTATTTTCCGAATAATAAATACTTTAATGCTTTCGATATCCTAATGTATTTTCGATTTCATTCCCTCGAAACAAGTTCGGTACACAGCGGTGGCTAACGGGTTTGGTTCCACCTCTTTATTGTCCGTGTAAAAATAAAAATAAAAAAAATAACAAGAATATATAAATACGTGTGCATGTAAATATGTATAACTAGTTATTAGTATAATATCGGTACATATATGCAAGTATGTTTAGTACATATTCCTTCTGATCAGTGACGTATTTAATATCATGTCAAAGAGGCATATAAAAAATTTGAAAATTGTGTTATATTATATAAACTACGATAAAAAAAAAAAATAATATATTTTCGTAAGCAATTTATACTATAGTCGGACCTAAAATTATTATTGCAATTAAATACGTTATCATAGGTATAATCGGTATAAGTAGGGGTAATTTACTATTTAGGCACTAATCTAACCTCTTTCATATTATAGTAGTTCGCAGATAGGTTTCGTTTGAACAAAAAAATGTAGATGTTCAGGTTTTTTTTTTTTGATACATGGTACTATAGGTACCAACACATTAAATTGTTGATTTTTCTGACTAAAAAGTGAAGAAATTCGAATATAAAAATAGGTTAATACGATGGTTCTGCATTGAATTTTTTAATAATTACAGGTGATTCATAAAGCATAAACGAGGAAAAAAAAAGATAAAGCTTTCAACACTCCTCTCCCCTCGTGAGAACTTCTCTAATATGATAATATTTAGCAAAGTTAGCAATAGTTATATAATACAGCTTTGGTCCTAGGGAAGAAGGGATTTTCGTATAGTTTTCGATACAAACAAATTAAATTTTGATAATTCAAGTAAGTACAAACAAGTGTTGTACGTTTACCAATATATATCTAATAATATATTAAATATATTAAACTCACCCAAGTAGAATTTGCGTATATTTATGCTATTTAAACAAGTTAATAAAGGAATAATAATTATAAAAATAGCTAAACATATCTGTGCTCTTATGGAATTCCGAAATATACTGCATTTAGTTAATTGGGTATAAAAAAAAAAAAAACACCCTAAAAACACGTTTAAAAATATTCTATTCAATATAATATGTGTACATTAGGATGGTCCTTTTTTTTGTTGAATTTGAATGTTCGATGACGAGTACCCCAAATTTTGTTCTATCTATTAAAAAAAAAATTATAATAAAGTTCGATAAGTCGACCCCTTCCCGTGCCTCAAAGTGCCTCATGTACTATGTACATCTATTTAAAAACTCAAAGGACAGTATATTTATAGGAAAAATAAAATTTCAGCTATTTATATATATTTTTTTTGTAAATTTGCCCGAATTCGTTCAATATTTTGACCTTTTTAATAAATGACATTTGCTTAATTTGCTGATTATAATAATATTTTTAGTATGTTTTATATATGACTCACTTTACAATGTCTTTGCTCATAGGTAAAATGCCTTGATCTGTCGTTTTAACACCAATACCCTGCATCTGAAAATATCAAAAATATTTCATTTTTAATAGGTAAATAAAAATTATATTAATTGTATTTATTGTTTTTTTATTTTTTTGAGGTAAATTTAATATAAAATATGGCGCGGATTTAGTATTCAAAAAATTATTATTATTATTATTTTTTTTTTCACTGTTATACATATTATAATTATGTTAATAAGTTATAAAACTAATAACTGATAATTTGTATATCCGATAAGATATCTGATAGCTGATGAGTGGCGATTGTTTGTTTTAGACGTATTCGATTTCCTCCATTTTTCTATTATTATCAAGACAGTAGATTATATTTCCATCTACTCGCACTTTATACTTTTTTTCCATATCCAATTCTTTGCACTACCGAAAGCTATTAAATAATCTCTATCGTACATTTTAAGTAGAAATACGTTATCGTAAAATTATATTTAAGTATAATAATAGATCAGTTATGATTTAAATAAATCAACTATAGGCAGTGAAATTTATAAAAAAATCTATTTTAGTTGTATTATATAAGAAGATGTTCGATCTATCAACGTCCACCGGAACGATATTTATGTCATTTTCTGGAATGTATAGAACGATCGTACATTTTTTTTTTCTATTTAAGCCTTTTTTAAAAAAAAAAAAAATGAATATATTAAAATAATTCGCATTTAAACGAATTAGTCTCGGCGTCACACTCTCTGACTTACCAACTATTGTAATATATTGTTTATGAAAATTGATTCGATAACTTATAATTTATAAAATGAGAGTTTTCAAAAAAAAAAAAAATAAATAGATTATCCCAATGATACACGTTAACATATTATTATACGCATTTATCGGTAACAAATTTTCCAAAATATTATGTAGGCAGAGAAACACGTTGTTGTAATAAAGTCATTTAGTAATATTTTATATTTTAATAAAAGGTGTTTATGCACGTGCAAGGGCGTCCACCATGTAAAAATACGTACAGGACGATTTCAATCACTTCCACGAGAAATCAAAAGCAATAGTTAAATAATTGTTTAAATCAAATAAACCGTACCTATGTACGTAATAATAACATACATTCGTTTATGTTCGTTTGTACGCTCAGCTATTAATTGAACACAAATTACAGTTTTCTATGATCTAGGGGGGGATGACCCCTCTTCCCGCTTTTGTTTACGCGCGACAAATACGCCTCATATGTGAATGGAAGCATAAACAAAAAAGTGAATCGTTATAAATTGACCGTGTGTGAGGTCAGAGACGAGAAATATAATGTTAATATGTTAATAACTGGAGGACGTATAGAGGTTGTTTCAACTTGTTTTAACGCACCGCGTAAGGACTTAACGGTCAATTATCGAGTTACCTACCTACTCATAGAATGTTTGAAAATATTCAAGACTCAGGAGGCAGTGGCGTAACCAAGATTTTAAAATGTGAGGGAGGGACTTAATACTTGTTTGCTTGAGACACGGATAAGAGGAGATAGGACGTAGATAGATAAGAGGAGGTTTAAGGATTGGGACCTCAAAATAAATGAATTTTAGTGTTTTCATCAATATGCGCATTTCAACTGTGTACCTTGTATCTAATACTTTAAGCGAACATTGAGATAAACAAAAAAAAAAAAAACTCAATAATGAAATAAGAATATAATAATAATAATAATTCTATAATATGTAATGTCTTGGCATGACTTATTGAATCTATATTTACTCTTTTTTTAATTTTTTCTTCGTATTTTCCTATAGAATCATTTTGATCGAAGGTAGTAAATATTATATATCATTTTCATTTAAGAACGTTTTCATATACGGTTCAGTGTAGAAGACGTTTTCTGAATAGTAGAAAAATTAACCGGAAACATAGTTAAATAGTAAAATAGTATGCATACATAAATACGGTCCAAGGAGTCATGGGCGTCATTAGAATTAAATTTTGGGGTAGAAACACAATAATTATCTACAAAAAACATCCATTCTGTTTATTTTTCGAAAGTGATATGATATTAGCGATATTATAGATCCGTAATCCTACACTTTATATTTTGTATTCAAATGCAGCCAATTTTATAATTCACTATATTCACTATTTACTATTAATATGGTGATTGAAAAAATTATGCAGAAACAACTCATACGGGAAAAAATAATTAACATTATCATAGAATATATTATTTAGTAAACATCAAGTCATCAACAATCAAACATTGTTTTGACCATGATATTTTAGAATTCTGAGCAGAGCGAGGAATGTTTTGGTTTTACAATGTTTATTATTATTTTTTTTTTACTGGGTACTAAAATTCTATCAGAAATTTTGCTCCGATTTTCAAATTTTCTGAAAGGACATTTTCCTGGAATGGTATTTTAGGGAGATCATTATTTTATTTTTCAATTAACTTTCAAAATAATTGGAAAAACTGGAAAATTTACGAAATTCAAGATTTTATTATTTTCAATTTTGCTCTTTGTTATAATTCAGTTTAAAATGTTCTTAAACTTAAAATTTTGACAGAAATCTTATATTTGTCAATTATAGGCGTGATCAAATTTTCAAAATATTTATTGATTTATTTATAAACATTTTAATTTTACTAGTTTTTTGCGTAATATTTATTCGGTAGGTATTCTATGGTTAAAATTGCTGGACCAAATATATTTATGTTGTAAATGCTTGACAGTTAAACTAGAGGTTCATTTTAAGTTGTACTTAATGGTTAACAAGAACAAGTTGAGTTTAATGTAATATTTTTTTTTTTATAAGTATTTTAATATCAAATTTTGACAAAAATCATAAATATTACGGCATTTTAAACATGTATAATCGAATTCCGCTCAAAATCGTTTTTTATTAGCAAAGATTGACTGTTGCGTACAGATATATATTAAATTCCTCTATGTATCCTATACCTTCCCAACTTCTCACCGACAACAATTGCCCTCCCGTCTGACGAAGTATATTCGTCCTTTATTTTACTTCCTACTACGAGTCATAACTGTTATTACAACTTATAAAAACGAATGTTATTGTCGTTGAGATTTTAAAATTAAATAGTTGTCGATAATAATAATAAATATATTTCAAAACGAATGTACATATGTATGTTCTTTATGCATTACTATACCATTCATTCGATCGCCATGAAACTTTGGGACGCTGTTCAACATTGTCTGGAAAAGGTTTATAGTTATTAAAATTCACCCCTTATGGAATACTAATCTTTAAAATTTGATTTTAGGTATTTTTAGAATAAAAATTTAATTATTTTTGTTGATTTATGGGTTACTTTGGTAATACAGATGAAAAAAAACAAATATTGGTATTAATGTTTGTAGTGCAATCCCTGTGCTGTGCGGGTATCTATGGTAATAACATAGATAATTTATCTATTAACTTTATTTAGAAACCGCAAAGTCAGGCGGGACAGCTTGTCATACATAATAAATACGTCATAAATGAACACATTTTAAAATTTCAAGTATTTCACGGGACAGCAAAAGTACCCCTCGATAGTCGATACCTCTTAGTGACGCTTACGAATGGTGGTAGGGTGTAATTTCCTTAGCCCTCTTCCTTGACCAAGCCACTGTTCGGAGGTACCGAAAAACTTAACCGTTTCGATTTTCATCACGTATCTTCGACCTTCCTATCATCCGAACAACGGTTTTCGTGCACATTTTACACCCAATAGTTAATAATCATCGTCGTCGTCGATAATATTATTATGTCTCTCTATCGGGTGCTCAGGAACAGGTTTTTTTCCCGTAAGGTACACACTTCATTGTGCGACGCACTATAATATTATGCCTTTTACTTCCAGCGGATTATTTTAATATTCGAGAATGAATAATAAATAATAATAATAATTTCAATATTGTTGTTTACCGACGTTTATTTCTCATTCATACAAAACGAAAACCGGTCGGTGAATGGCACACGCGTATATATAGGTGTACGCATAGGTAGGTACGCGCGGTGGACACCTACGACTATCGTACCTATATGATAATATATTATAATTGTACGAGTATACTATGCTCTTTTTTTTTTTTTTCCATTGCTAAAACACATTGACGAATGTCGTAGCGAAATAATAATTTATGTGGCGGTAATTTGTTTTTGTGATTTACATAGGTGGAAAAAAAAACGACGACAACCAGTTTGCCGTTTTCTCAACCATTTAGATCTATCTAACGTTTTAATTTTGCATTGCAATACGGACTATGATGTGATGTAGATATTATCTATAAATTATTATATTTTCATTCAGTTTCACGCGTACTGTAGCGGAATTGACGAATCTTTTAATATATTATAATAATAATATATTAATACGCGGTGGATAATATCATTTTTAAAATTTCGCTTACAGTGCGTTAAAAACTACTGCAGTAACCACAAGAATGCAGCTGTAAATCTTACTAATCTTTCTCATTAAATGACTGTCGGCATTATTATTATTATACGTACAGTTATCGATTATCTTTTTTGTTTGACAAAATATCAAAACTAAACGTAATAATTAGACGGGTATAAATGTATGGTTTATCGAGGAATCTGCGTTATCAATTTATTGTATATTTTATGCATAAAAATAAATATGTATAATAATAAATACATTGTTTGTATAAAGTAATCCAATATAGGTAATAATAATATCACATCGATATAAATTCATAACATTGATTTTAACACTAACATTCGATTCCATGTCGATCTAATTAAGATTGAAACTTCTTAAAGGAAGGATTAGGCAGTAATAGTTTTGAGCAGGTTTTAGTCACACCCATGTTGGTCAGATCATTAAGTGTAAGATCATAAGGTCGGATTGAGGATTATGTTTTGGGCCTTGGGGCCAAACTTGCAAACGGGCCCTTTTATAAAACGTTTATGGCATTACGGAATTATTTTGTTATATTTGTTACAACAGGGTAAAATTGAGATTTTCCACCAGATGATAATACAGAGCTAATAAAATCCTAGATAAAATAAAAATCCTAGACATCTGATAGTTTTTCATCATTGATATCGACAACTGCAGATATAGGTAGTAAATTTGAAAAATAACTCACGTTGGCCACTTCATATTATATGGATAGTATTCTATAAATTATATACCGAGTTGTTACGGAAAATATTCTTACCAAATGTGAGTTTTAGTGCTTGCTACCAAAAATATTTTGGTTATACCGAGAAAAAAACAAAATATATTCATGTTGGTTTCAAAAATGTTTGTGGCTTCCGAAGTCGAAAGTATAAAAGTATGTTGAATTGTGAAATGGTTAAATAAAGTGCCTATTTAAAATTTATATTTGTTTTAGCGTTGAATATCGATAGACAATAATATCATGAATTTAATTATGTTTGTAATAAGGGAACACGATACCTACATGGTGTTTATACATACACATAATTAAAACAAAATTAATAATATGTTAATCTGCCAAAGATCGGTGAATTATATACGTTAATGTTTTCGTAATATTTTTAAATTTTTGTTATTTTTATAGTGTAGGTATATGAGGAAAATGTGTATTAATATAAATTTTAAAATAATGGGTTGTTTTTAATAATTTATTATAATCTAAAATTGTAAAAGAAAGACTTTGGAAACAGATAAAAAAATATATAATAATAAACTAATTTCGTTTCATTAAATTAGGTAATGCACCTGTATTTTAAAAAGTTATGTGGGTGACTTAATTTTGTAAAAGTGTGTATTATGATACATAGCTATACAATACTAATTTAAGTTGTCTATTTTAATAGTATAATATTTTAATAATTGCAGCACCACAACAAGAATTTTAATTAAATAAGAATATTTAGATTTTATATATTTAATGATTCTGCTGGTAGCTTTTTCTAATATATTACCATTTTACAATCGACGAGTCTTAGCAATGCTTAAAAATTATAGTAAAATTTGTTTTTATTTTATATTAAGATGGGCAAGATGAGTTGCGTGAGTCTTTTTCTTTCCTTATAAAGTAACTTTTTATTGTGGAACTAAAAATTATAAGAGTTTGAAAAAATCGTTAAAATTGGTCATTTTTAATTTGTTTTTCACTGTACAAGGGCTGTGATTTTTTCGTTTAGAGCATGTTATTGTGCAAAAAAACTGGTCACGAGCAGTCTTTAGAGTGCAAATGTTTATAAACGTAATATTAATAATTTGTTTTTCTTGACAACTTTTATGATAACAATTGATTATAAGCTTAAGATATAAGTATATAATAGTATATATAGAATATAATTAGGTATAAAAAATTATTAAAATGTAGTAACAATTTAGCATAAATAACAGGCTAAATGATTTAATAAAACATATTTATTAATGACAAATCGTTATGAAATTGTTGTGAAACGAACTGTTCAACCACGGTGATTACTGATTGTTAAATATCTAGAGACCCATATACTTATTTGATTCGGGACTCACCAGTTGGTCGCGACCCACAGTTTGAGAAACGCTGGTCTACACACTATATTTTTAAGTGAATAATATAATAACAAGTATAAAGGGAAGGTTGGAAGTGGCCTTTTTTTTGAAAACGTCAAATTGGTTTTGTAGTTTACTCTGTGATATAAATGGACTGAATTTTTCACAAACCAAATGGCCTTTGAAATCGGGTTTAGAGAGAAAATATCAATTATAACATTTGTAGATTGAAACATTTTGGGAACAATCTCGTTGGCGTTTTACAGTTCTTTAAATATTCAATTCATTGATGAAGGTATAAAGAATTATGTTTTAAATTTTTTCGTTCACATCTAGCTGTATATTTTTGAATGAATACCTTATTAATATTTCGAAAAACTTCGACGAGGTCGCCGTCTACAAAATTGTTGTTTTATCATAAACCGATTTTAATGGCTTTTCGTTTGTTTTACGTGAACATGTTTTCACTATATTGCCTATACGACTGCAGAGACGGAAAATGCCAACTGTGACGGCCTTTTAAATAGGTACTTATATAATATATTTCGACGTTGAAGTGTATTTAAAATTTAAATACCAGCGTTTATTATAATATATGTACTCTTTCATCCATTTAGACTATAACTTTGTTTTTACTTATACATTATCTACTTTAATTTAAAATCATTTCTCGTCGGCTGCAATATCACAATCGCCACGTATTATCGTATGATAATATTATGTATACCTACAGAATTTTTATATTATAATGTAATAAAATATTATATAAATAAACTTGGCATAGAATAATACATTTGTTATGCGATACAAACAAGTGAAACATTATTCTGATTATAGAGCATAATATACAATATAAATATTACCTACGTATTATAATATCATTTAATCGGATTCGCGTATTACTTTTATATTTAGATGAATAAAAGATGTCGGCTTATGGCCAACAAATTTAATTGAGTGTGACTATAGAGGAGCTTTTTTTGCATTCAAAAACTTGCACAGACTACAGTGCCTTATTGCCTATTATATTAATAATACGTACAATTCAAAATATAATATTGAACGACACATTATAGTTTATAATATGCATATATATGTAACATATTTTCATTTAATACTTTAATATGTATAAAACAAATAAATAAAAAAAGAAAAACCAATGGAATTTACGTAGGTATATCATAAAAATACTTGGATATTATAACTATATGGATTATTATATAATATAATATGAGTCCTTAGGACTTAATGCTACACTACACAGGCTATATTTATACATTTTACTTTAGTTTTATTTCTTGTAATTTACTCGCAGTAATTTAGGTTTTATTTAAATGGCTCTAGATACATTAAAAAAAAAAAAAAACACCGAGACCGGAACACCGGGTGTTGGGTACACGTTTTATAATATATATACTTGAAACCCCTCGGGGCTCAGTGTAATGGTATATTAAATTTATATTTTTAGCTGGAACATAACAATTGTCGTTGGTTCGAAAATCGATTCTAAGTGGAATTCAGAGTTCAAATAATGTAAACGCTTGTCGACGATTTTTTTATTTTTATTACTCCTTTTTAGTTTTTTCGCCATTTACTGGACATAACGTAACTATATACCCTGTACTCATATATAACACTAAAAACCATATTGTGTTCAATGCGCCTTATCTATTTATAGCTAGGTATCTGATTATTTGCTGTAGGTAATTTTAAAGATATCGTCGAAATGATTCGAAAATTGAGGGGAAAAAAAATGTAATTTAAAACTTATAATATTCCGATTTTGTTCATAAACTTACCGCAAGAGTAGGTACCTTCGTTAATCGAATATTTTTACTTACTCTATACATGTAAATATGTAATGTTTGTTTATTATTTTATTAAATTTTAAACGTTTTAAAAAATAAAATATATTATAATTATATATTATATACAGTGATTAAACTTAAAGGTAAAAAATCTCGTCGCATATATTATCGAATTTTTATATTAATTAGATAGGCTATAGATAATGATTTTCTAATCTATTTAATTTTAATAAAATAACGATTTTTTCGGTATAAAAAATTGATTATGAACACTTAAATTTACTACGTGAATAACGTATAAAAATTTAATTTGGAACCCATAAACACACATACTCACACTGACATGTACACGTGCGTGTGCGCAAATACAAGCATTTTTAATATTATTATTAATATTCGTATTTATAAAACTAAATAAATAAATATGTAGATACCTTTTGTGTTGTAATTATTCCGAAAAACGCAAACAAAAATGATGATTAATTCGACACTTTGAACGAAACGTAAAATAATATTATACTAAAAATGTGTGAACGTCCGCTACTTATATTATTAATATTATAACAGAAACGATAATGTATTAATACAAATGACTAGATATAGTTATTTTTTTTCGAAATTTTAAAATTGGTTTAGAACAAAAAAGAAAAACGTATTATCTCTGTTATCCTTCAGTGCACACACACGTATTAATATTAATAATGTGTACAATTCGGGCTGTTCGACACACTGAACGTCGTTTCGGGTTAGGCTGGTTACCCGCGGTTACCAGCGACTCCTACGAAATTCGAGATTGCACCGTATTTGGCGTCCGTTTGAAACCGACGGCGGTACTATATTTAAAACACCCACCTTCCCCTTGGCCACTCCCCTCTGCCCCTCTTGCGGTTGTACAAGCGGAATATCGTTGTATGCGTATGTAAACGCGCGCGAGCGATTGAACCCGAGCTCTCCTCTGGTTATGGTAAGGCATTTTTTTTTCTTTTATTTATAAAGTCTCCTTGGGTATACATATATTATATTTGCAGTATCTCTCTGGTCCATTTTCAGGGTGGGGCGTTAAATAATAATAATTATAATAATCATAATAATAATGATGAAAAAAAAGAAGAAGCACCATCGTAGAATTTATTTTTAGATTCCTCGTACAGTTTCGGTTTCGTTTGGCACCCGACCCATATACGGGCAACGATTCTACCTGATACACTATATTACATTGTAATATTATTATATCTACGAAAACGTTAATAGAAATCATTTTTTTTTTAAATTTTAATTTCAATATCAAAACGACGTTTTATCTTGTGATAGCTATCTGACATACGCTTACGATAAAAAAAAAATAATCTATAATCTGTGTTCAAGTATGAAAATAAAATAAGAGAAACAATGAAGATAAAAAAAAAATTAAGTTTCCTTGCAATGACATTGAACTGAACCTAACCCGTGTAGTGCTTTGGCTCCCCTCACAACTCTTTATCCCAATTTTCAAACATTCTATTCAATAATTAATAATTTGCTAAATAATAATCAATAAATCACTCCAGCGACGTCTACAGACTAATATTTTGTTTACATAGTTATTTATTTTATACATATTAACATAATTAATATAAGAAAGTATTTTATTCATACTTATTTTATTTGATCGTAAAAAATAATGATAATGCTTAGGTTTTAGTCAAATTACTTACCTACTTTAAATTTAATTACTTGCTGCATACAAGAAAAAAGTCCATTGAAGAAAAAATAATAATTATAATAACTTGTTGCTGAACGATGAATATTAAATTTTTAAAAAAAAAATGCACAATTTATCAAAATTGATGATACCAATTTTTTTGAAAAATTATTTGAAATTAGAGACGTACAGTTCCTCCATCTCGATAGAATTATTACGTTAGAGAACACAAACAACAAAATAGTAAAGGAAATTAGTATCCATGTGTACATCCATCCCAAATAATTTTTTTTTTCAGTTGCTATTCACTTAAAAATAATCATAGAGACCTGATATTTTTACAAATTGTAATGATATGTTTCTTTAGACGTGGTAAAACAATCTCGTGGTATTTGAGTTTGATATTTTCTAATTTTTGTTTGGTATTATACGGTAAAATTATTTTGGCCGAGCAGAAATACTTGAAAATTTAATACGAGGTTTATTTTAAGTTTTAATAATAAGTGGTAAAAAAAAAAAAATAAAAATAAAAATTAGCATACTATTGTAGTTTTTTTTTTAAAGTTTAAAGTTTTATGGAAATCGTAAAAATATCTTCACTTTACGTAGGTTATAATTTTTGGTTTATGAAAATACAATTTTTTGGCATAGCCAAAATGTTTGAAAATTTAACATGAGGTTTATTTTAAGTTATATTTGATGGTGTACAAAAGTTTATAAGTATATATTTGTGTGAATATATGTATTATATATTGTATTCTACCAAAAGTATAATAAGTATAATAATTAATAATAATCTCATAAAATATAATCAATTATTAATTTTACATGGTTGTTTGGTTTTTTTTCCAATATCTATTGATAATATTGTAATATTTTATTTAAGAATGTATTATACTCAGGTAAGTGTAAATTACGCCATGTATAATGTATAATATACATACTTGTACGTATAAGTGTTACATGGTTGTTTTAAACTGAGAAATGTTTTAATACAATTTTATTTCAAAAATATAATGATGTTTTCGCGTTAAAGTTTGACTGTAAGGAATATGTGTATACAATTTCATATTCATATACATATCACAAGATATTGCACAACAAAGCCAAAGAGAGTTATTAAATTATTGTAATTATATATGACAATGTTCAATAGACTGTTGATAATTATAATCTATACCTACGTAACTTTCATTAATAATGGTTTAGTAAAAAGTATTCGTGAGACTATATTATAATATATATTACAGTGGTACCTGCTTTACTAATATTGTGACAAAAAGAATTGAAGTGAAAAACATTGAATCTAAATACAATCGGTAGCATCGATTAAATGAATAAAAACTATTTTAAAAATTGGAGATGTTTGGGTTGTTGCACTAAAAATTTAATCAATGTTAACAAAACAATATGTTATGTAAATGGTTATAAATATGCATACATTTGTACAAGACACGTTATAAAATACAAATTTGTATTGACTTATAACTGATAAACACATACAAATATAACGTGACCAATGTTTGGAGCAATAATACGGACAAATGTCTATAAGTAACAACCAGACACATATCTGAAGATGTGTTGTTGTTGCACCAAAAAAAAAAAAAATAATAAAAATAAATAAACACCTATATTTGTATAAATATCTCAGTGTTTATCGATCGAATTTGTGTTATTTTTACACTAATTAACGGGGATTAATAATTCGGAATATATATACAAAAAAAAAAAAAAAAAAAAAAAAAAAAAATAAAAAAATAAAACATAAAATGATTTTAGAAAAGAAATCGAGATGGCTTGTTGGACGCAATAGCGTAGAGAGGTAATTGGTTTTATATCTCTCACTTTATTAACTTTAAAATACAACTATATGACTATTAATGTTTAGTATTCGTTATTTAATTTTATGTAAATATTAGCCAATTCATAAAGAAAAGTTTGATTTATTGAATAAAACTTAGCTTTTAGATTCTGAGTGTATCGAGGGATCTACTGGTTTTACTACTATATGATATGTATTTTTTTATTTTTTCTGTCTATAAACAACTTTTATCCTAGAAATCTTACTCCTATAAAAAAAAAACAAGAGACATATTTTTGATGTATATTGGTTCTAGTTGGTACTTTGAAGGTCATTTTTTAAAATACTCATTAATATTCGAGATAATGAGAAAAAACTGGTTCTTTAGGTTGAAACAGATTAAAAATAATGATGTCATTGGTAACCGTTTTTATGTATTTTTTATTATTTTAATTTTTTATAGTCTTCTTTATCAACAATATTATTGACTGAGCTCCACTCAGAATCGTTTTTCGTGAGCAATTATCAATTATCAATCGTTGTGATATAAATTACATTTCCTTCTATATTCTATCATCACTTCTCATCTAAAATAGTGTCCCATCCGTAGTGTGAAGTATGTCCGTCTGTTTTTTTTTGGATATGGTTTTTAAATTTCTGCTGTCGGGTATTAGGTATAGAATAAGTTTTTAGTATTATTTACTAAATTTTATTTCATTGGACATTTTCAACTACGTTATAATTGGTATTGGAATAAGTATTGATTTAATGATTATTATAGAATCGAATATCAAAAAATAAAAATAAAATATTGTCTATAAGGCCACGTATTTTTGTGTCTTTACTCGTATGATATTCGCAAACAGAATGTACCTACCTAATTATAAATGGTTTAACACGTTATCATCATCACGTTACAATCAATACGTTGTGTTGCTATTAATAATACTGATAATAGTTAGACATATTCTTTGGTTATTATGATTTCTTTTATGTTATTATCTTGCAGCAGCGAAAAGAATAATGGCATTTAAAGAAAAAAATATTAGTCACAACACAAAGTAAAAAGTATATACTTATAATAATAATATTATAATAAACCGTTCCAGCGCCCACACTCAAACAGCATCTGGGTCAATCATCGCAATACATCTTGAAACACCTACGGTTAGACATATATGCTCAGTATACCTATTTGACCTATCTGAAACGTTAAAACAATAATTATTACTATACATCTTCGTTATTAATATTAAAATCGAAATTTTTATTTTATATATTTTTTTATTAACTCTGTAATGGTATTAGATATTGGCCTATTAAAATGTATTTATCGTAATTTCGACAAAATTAATAATTGTATATTGTTTAATTTTAACAAGTTATTACAAGAGGAAATCTTCAATTATTATTTAATATGCAGACATATTGTTATGTTCTTCTTCTTTTTATTTTTTTATTTTAAATTAATATTACCAGTTGGTTATGTATAGGACAATTTTGTAATGACCACATGAAAACACGTAAAGGTTTTTTTTTTTCGTAAAGCAATGAAATGTGGAAAGTCATAATAATATTAATTCACTGTAATTCCCATGCAAACGACTTGTATTATAGTGATGTAATTTTTTTTTCAGTAGGTATACCTATGTATTTTTGACATTAAATTGATTCCGGGTTTTGTTTTATAGTACCTCGAGACACAATACGTATATGTACCTTTAAAAAAGATTTAATTGATGTAAAATTATACATAATTATATATATAAGTTTTATTAAAATAAACGTGTATATAAATTTAAAAAACATAATAATTATTATTACCTACATAATACTTACCTACTTGTATGTATACATGGGAACGGTTTGTATTCGAATCATTGTCGGTATTGTTTCGAGTTCCAAAAAAGTTTTGGCGCATTAAGTCCTCATACTACACGAGTAATGCGTTTTAAACATTTCAAATTCTTGTGGGTACATATTAATTCTATTTTTGGAAGTAATCTTTATTTATTATATACATACAGTAGGCACTCTATTCAAACAGCTAAGGTAACATAATATTGTTATTGTATTATATGAGGATTGTCCCAAAAGTAATGCACAATTTGCTCTGAATAAATAAGTTTTTATTTTAAACTAAATACAATATTATAGACCTTCGATATAATCTCCCTGCTTGTCTATACACGATTGCCATCGTTTCGGGAGCGCTTGAATGCCGCATAGGACGCCATCTTTGTTGAGTTCATGGATCCTTCGGCTCACTTCTTCATTTAGTATATCTAAGTTGGGAAAACGGATCCCTCTAAGTGGTTCCTTCAGTTTTGGAAATAAATCAAAGTCCGGGGAACTTAAATCCGGCGAATATGGTGGGTGTTTGAGGCGTTCCCATCCATATTTCTCCAAAAGAGCGACGACTGGTGCTCCGATATGCGGCCGCGCATTATCGTGCAATATNATTTTTTGGCAAGGAATGTTTTGTAGTAATCCCCGGTTACACTACTGCCAATTGGAACTCGATCAGTGACAATTATCCCAAGTTTATCGTAAGCAAAAATCATCATTTGTTTCACCTTTGTTTGCTGGCGACGAACTTTTTTTGCTCTTGGTGATGTTATTCCCTTCCAAATATTGCTTTTTTGCACCGTACTACGATCCACAGTATCCGTTCCACACACTTCATTTAACGCGGCATGAATTTCAGGCACTGTTTTACCACGAATCGTTTCGATTTTAATGTATGCGCGTTGCTCAAAAACAGAAATGTGAGCCGACGAATTGTTCTCACTTTCGTTATCGCTCTCACACATTATCATACTTTACTAAAACAACTAAAACTGAAAACGCACGTGTTCGTTAGACTTCAAGCTACAAACTGATACTAAAATCAGCTGATAATATCACATTTCAAGATAGCTAGAGCGCGCTGTGCATTACTTTTGGGACAATCCTCGTAGGTATGATATATATAAGACACAATGTGCCATTTTTAAACTTAATTGCAGTAAGTGGGTAGAAACAAAATGTACTTTCGCATGCTTTAATACTTTAAATAATGATGTACTTACAATCATAGGAAAAGAAAAACACAACTCAATTTCGTAAAAAAATGTCACTCGGTGCCGTGGTTTAATTGAACGCTCATATTATGTAAAATACTTTATAATTATACGATTTGTGATAAAAATATTATTATGCGTTATTAATGTACATTAAGTAATAAAAATGGCCATAATAATAACGTTTTTATTAAAGGCCATAATAATAAGCTAAATAAACAACACACACAGAGAATAATAATACATATTAGACAAAACGAGATTAAATTGTCATAATTAACCTATTAGTTATAGGTAAATTGTAAATAATTTTTTTTTAGAGTCGTGTATGATACTGTTTATTATACTATTAGGGTAGGTATTATATTTTACTTATTATCAGATTATGCTGAGAAAAATAGAGAACGATTAAACTCGTTATTTTTTTTAATACAATTTGTGAACAGAATGTGTACAATAAAAGTATTTCTTAAAGTTTGAAAGCATAACTTTAACGGTGGTATTCTATTGCTCGAGGTGGTTAAGTTTTAATTCTATAGTTCGGAGATCTCCACACGTATAATTTCGTTTTAGACTATTTTTGAGGGATGGGAATTTCGATGAATGGGTTCTGCAGATATTTTATATATATGAGATTTTATATTTGATTGGAGAGGCGAGTTTATAAAATGTTTCTATTGGTACCTACTACTTACTATCTTTGATACCAGAATAATTGAAAGGCCGCTGCAGCGTATAATGTGATTACAGACATAATACGGTGATTTCGTAATTTGTTTTATAATTTTTGAATGAAATATTTATTGATTAGTTGGTCTAGAGAAGTTGAAGTTTTATGTTTCTGGCGTACTTATTTTTCACGGGTTACCACTAAAAATACTATTCCACCTGAATGCGGTCCTAGATTCGAAACTAAAAGCAACAAGGTCATTTATATGTACTTATGTATATATATATATATATATATATATATATGTATGTATAAATATTTATGTACATATTACTAAATAAATTAACAGATATAAAATAAAATTTCAAAAGTTCATAAGAAAAGTTCGTTGTGTTTGCAAACATACACAGCTGATGTTTATTATTTTTTCGACATATTTAGATTAAAATAATTTAGATTTAAAATATATACCCATTACTCGTACAACATATTATTATTCTTTGACCTAAATCGTGTTCGTATATTATTTTTACAATTATTCGATCGTTCATATATTATAGAATCAACATATTGCAGGTTATGAAAAAAAATGAAATTCATATTTTATAGTAAGTAAATAAGTAAATAAGAGGGGGTGGCATTAGATTTTGTAGATTACTAAACGTGTCACGAATCGATAATCCACGAAGAACATTATTATTAGTACTTGGATGGGTTGCTATACAGTGAACTTTAGTTAAAACGATATAGAAATATTATCATATTCCTCTAGGTAGATTATAAGTAATTATATAATGAATGGTAAGATTGATGCAATTGCTATTGTGTGATCGATATTCATTATTAAACTTGAATTCTAAAATAAACCAATATATACAAACAATTTTTACCTATAAATAAGCATTCGTGTAAAAAATTAGGATTGTTTGAACATATTTTTAAAACCCATAAAGAATGAGAATAATGCAAATTGATCATTATCGTTCTACATGTACATGTAAAAATTAATAATTGGAATCGGTACCATATTATATATCTTTGGTCCTGGAAAAGAACTTAAGATGGCTTAAGTTAATTTTAGTAGGTATTTTTTTAAAATTTAGTGTTATGCAATTGTTTTCCTTTATTTATAACCTAAATTATATAAATATATTCCAACATATGTTGTACTGAAAATGCCACTATGGTGTACTTTTTGTTTGGCGAAAATGACATAAGTCATAGTTATTATACAGTAATAAATTTAGCCATTGAACAATTAACAAAATTTAATAATTTTCTTATAATGAAAACTATCAACACAACAACACAATTTAATTAAGCCCTTTTTCCTTAGGTCCAAAGATATATATATATACATACGAACGGTTTGGCTCTCATATAACTAAATAGTAAATGGTAGCACGGTCGCAAGTGGGTTGTTTATGGATTCGTAAAAATGCTGTAAAACCGGACACGATCCAGTAAATAAAGAATTCGATTTTTATTAATGGTGTGCGTGAACATTTATAACCGAAAACCGCAGGTTATTACTCGTATATTATAATACGAGACCAGTTGCGAGTTAAACGAAATAAATTTACGGCCAAAACGAGTCGCCCAACTGTGCGTGGGGGGTTGTTTTTTTTTTAATACCATTTATGGTATCGCGGTGATGGAACACTCCCAAAGCCCACGCGAGTCCTATTCTTCTGCAGCGGCATCCGGTTTTGAGAACGCATTCGATAGTTGTAGGTATACATACAAAAACTTTGCCCATGGCACAGGAATTCGATGGGCGAGGTTGTTAACGGGTCAATATAATTGTGGCGAAATTTGTCTTGACAATTAGCAATCATATTATAATAATATTATAAATGCTATCATAAATTCTACTGTATCGCGTCCATTTTTTAATTATTAATATAAAAAAAAAAAACACATTTTTATTTATTTTTTGATGTGCTATTCATTTATATGAGAAAATATGGCCCGTAATTGTAAAATTGTTAAAGTTCACGTTATACCGACACGCTTTAGTGTAAACGCATTAGAGTCGGAAATAGTCAATGAATGTCAGTGTAAATAAAAACAATTTTTTTTTGAAAAATTGGAAATAATTTTACAAGTGGGTTTGTTGAACCATTAGCCTATGGTTAAATGTGGATGACTTATTGGTCATTCCGTTTATAGATAGGTAAATATTTTAGTTAAAAAAAGTTTATAGGCAATATGAATAATATTAATATTGTTTTGATTTTTTTATATGCAGTTGTTGGGAGTCCTTATTATACCATTGTAATCTAGGTACCTAATATTTATTTATTACTCAACTTTCACACATGGCAATATTTAAATTCAATTCCATTTGCGAATTTAATCAATACACATGTATTATACAAATAATTTTGCAATGATCCATTTTTTATGTTAATTATATTTATTATTTTTCTTATGACTAATCACCTAATAAATATTTAATACAATAATATTATAAGAAGAAAAAAAAACACTATATAAACACTGTTAACAAATATTATCTACACGTAGTTAGGTACAATTTTTTATATTATAATAAAAAGTATATTATATAATATATAATGATACAATTAACAAAAAAATCCAAATGTTTTTGTACTCTTTAGTCTGTATACTAAATTTTTTATTCTGTGATAGGATAATTGAAATAATAATACACAATTATAAAAAAAAATTAATACTTTTTGTTAATTTTTATCGAAATATATTATTATATAAATGCTTTTATTTTAATCGTTATAAATATATTAGCTTATATTATCAAATGTAATTATATTTTTAAATCGTAAATATTAATTTTTGTTTTAAAAATATAGTTATAATATAATAATTATTAATATAAATATTATAATTGCATATAATTATATGAAATGCATATATTTATAAACAATATTATATTGTTTGGTTTGGAAAGTTCTGATTTGTGAGAAATGTTTTAAAAAATGATTATAATTTGTATTTATTATAAAAATACAAGATAAAAGGAAATAGAGTAGAGTATTAAATACTTACTGCAGTTCAAAGTACGATAACAAATTACTTGGTACACTTAGGCCTGAGAAGTTACCTTGTGAAATGTTCTATTGGTTAATTTTAATGTTTAAAAACATTTTTTGGAAAGTATGGGCAATTTCGTTGTGAAAAAAACAGTAAACAAGATTTAAAGAAAATTGGTTTTAAAATTGATTTTGTAGAATTTAGTGCAAGTGGTATATTTTTTATTATTATAACAGAATCTGTAAAAACAAATAATAATAATAATATATATATATTTTTTAAATTAGTAGTGATAATGACTCAATTATAATTTATAACATACATTTATAGTATATGCAATTTACTTTTATATATATTATAACGTATTAGTATTTTGAAGTACTATTAAATTAAATTTTTAATTTTAAAAGAAATCTAGAAAAATTAACTAAAAATTGTTGAGATTTATACTTTTCCTGTGTTTTCCAGCTTCCTATCTTAATACTAATATTACCTTAATTAAACTTTTCTTAAATTCCAATCAACTATAGTGGCCTATTAAATCGTTTAACGTAAAAATTACGCTGTTTATGTTGTTATCATGATAATAATGTAAATAATGCATATTGTTATCTATATAGGTCAACAGTTATTTTGCCGGAAAAGGCAGGTTATACATAGATAATCAACTTATAATGAGAAACGGGTAAACGAGAAGGTTAAACATTTCGAAAGTCGTAAAATATTCGGAGGAGGATCCAGACTTCGTATTTATACGTAAAATGGCTGTGGTAATAAAAAAAAGATTATCAGTAAAAGTGCCAAAGCCTTTTTAAACGTGGACGTTTTATTAGGTACGATTTTTGTCTTATGTGATTGAAAGCCATTAATTATCGGGCAAATAAAATTGAATTCGTTTTTGCGGTAAAATCTTTTGGGTAATTTTACTAGATTTATTTTTATTGTCGAGCGGAGAAAGATATATACTTATTTTGTGTTCTTTTTAACGATGCATGATTTAATTCATGGTAGTTAATAGGTATCATTTGTTCAACTAGGATGAGTGTTTTGAACTTTTCGTGTGGGAACAGAA